GATACTGGGGAAAAAAGTAATTTTTACCTTGGTTACATCAGAACCACAGAAGGTCCTCAACAGTTTTACTTTCCTCTATGGATCTTGGTACATTAGCCTAGCACCTTTACTTCATTTTTAACATAATTACCTCTGACTAGTTATACTGATATGTTCATTCACTCAAGTAGCTCAACTGATGAGACAGTAAGCAGACAGAAAGTGTGTGTGTGTGTGTGTCTTAGTATCTGTGTGGCAGTGTGTTTAACTCATGTTGGTTGGATTGCAGAGCAGAGCAGAGCAGATGGGTTTTTAATGAGGAAACAGAATGATTCTGATAATGATGACCAGATAATTATACTCCATCTGAAGGAGGGAAGAAGATGCGCGGAGGGTGGAAGGGATGTGCTGGATTAAAAAGTGAGTGCAATGGATGAGGGAAAGATGAGTTTATGTACTCAGAGAGGGCTTAAGAAGAGCTGGATTCAGTGTATCAAGAGAACAGGAGGTGAAGAGAAGATGGAATGAGTTGAAAGCAGGGTGCTCGCAGGTCATTAAAAAGTCTCTAAATATCCTTTACTGTTGGTCTGCAAAGATCTTTCTCCAAGTTACATAATCATAAATACATTTCTAATTTTTGTGCTGAGCTATTCTATTAGGCACTGGCCTTTAAAAACATCTACACTGGTAATATTTTGGACTCTCTCAGAATCGTTACTCTGCTATTTATTAATGCTGCTGTCCACACAGTTCACATAGACACAGGGCGTCTTACATGCACCAGTCAGACATGCTTTACATAGCATGTTTCTTTCTAAAGTTAACACTAACGTAATCTGGGAAGAGTTAAGTCAGTGCAATGAGTACACAATTTTAACATTAAAAAACTGTTAAAATGCATTAGGGTTCATGGCTGTGGCTAGCACATAGCTGTCCAAGAACATGTAACTCCACAAAGACATTATGTGAAAGTGAAGCAGAGGTTAACTAGAAACTGAGATTCATTAATGTGGATTCACACTACCGGAGTCCCACAGAGGTAATTTCATCCCTAACATGGGGGCACCGTGTCTCAACTTGTTTTCCGTTTAATTTTTGTCAGCAAAACAGATATTAGAATTATTAGAATCCTAAATAGTTTTCAAATGCGATCACTCTGAGAAAAATGCAAAATGTTAGGACAATTTTTTCAGTAATTATAATGGTTTAAATGGCTTTAATGGCTGATCATTGTTTTTCTCACTTTTAAGTCCCCAGTCATTTGAATTCTCTTGATACAGTTGCTAACCAGATATTTTCTAATGATATTTGAGTCAAGATCGTCTATTAATTATTGACATTGATCACAGGAAGCAAATACACTGAGTTGGTCAAGACTTTACAGATTTACTTTACAGCAAATACATTTATTTAATGGTCCTCAATGTCACAAACTGTGTAAAGACACCAGGTACAGTAAAAAGAGCCAAGCGCAGGACAACAGGAGGACAGGATGGGGGATGCAGTAAAACTGTTTATTTAATATACGTTCTGAAAGACCTACAAATAGTCCAGGGACGCAAACCAGGAAGGGATAACAGGAGGAAAAGTCAGAGTTGAAGGTCGGAAACTGGTGGGAGTCAGGACTGGATAGTGAGGGAATGTAAGGCTGCTGTGCACTGTGGAGTGAGAGAGGAAGTCTAGGAAAATCTGGAGACTGGATGTGGAATGTCACTTCCTGGGACACTCTGGAAAACAGCAGGGCCAGGGCAGGGATTGTAATGGATGTGACTGAATGCTGGTCCCCACCATGTAAAACACTGAATTTTAAGGTGATGACTTGATTTATTGTTTTAGGGTAAGTCTCTAGGCAACAAAGTTAAGTCAGTGTAAACTCAGAGGGATCAAAGTGTATGTTTTGGCCGGTATGGTCAGCGTGCTTATCTTTGGGTATTTCCAGCCATGTTTATTTTCATAATTTAAACCTCATTTTCACATTATTCTCTGTTTCTTCTTTTACTTTTATGCTTGCAGCTAGAGTATCAGGGAGACTGTCAGTGAAAAGCAATCACACACACACACATACACACACACTTCACGGATGCCCTTCTTTCTGCTTTAACTCATACGCACACTTTCTCTTTTTCCCTCTTTGATTCGTATTCACGCACATGCACATACCAGGCTCACTGACAGGTGACTTCACCACAGTTTAACATAGCTGGGTAGAAAGAACAGATACTACATACAAAAAAAAGTATAATAGCAAAGACTTTAAAGATACACACACAAGTTCAAATAAGGTCACAAGGCAGTGTTGTTCAAAAATAATTTCAAGACCTAAAGGTGATCAATGGGATGCCTAGAAGAATAGCTTTTTGAAGAAATATAATTTTGCCTTAGCAAAATCTTGTAAAAACATCACAATTTTTTTACAAGTGAGACAACAAAAACTACACTGAATCCATAACTGATTAAAATTTGAAACCTCCTTGTGTTATTTTGTGAAGACTCAACAAGTACACCACCAGACTTTTCGAGATGACAATTATCAGTGTTACTAATGAGCACGGTGTCAAAAGTGAATGAATAAATGTCTAGCTTTGAGTTTATTGCATAATAATAAGGTTGAGTCATAACATGTCTTTTTATTGGACTATCAATCAGTGTATTAGCTATTTGGACTTTTTAAATATCCATGATTTGCTAGTATATTCACTCTTAAGTCATTTTTTTTAAAGGTTGTCGGGTACAGAGGAGCACTCTGTGTTCTAGCATCACATTAGGTTCATTATCTGAATCCCATAAATAGTGTTATAACCTTTATTACATTTAAAGTTGTTTCATCATTCTGTGTATACCCTTTGCTGGCTAGCTTTAGTCACTCTTGTACCCGTCTAAGTAACATAGTGCAAAATGAACACTGTAGTTTGGTCACAGAATCTAAATGGGCTGGATGGATTTCATACAAAACTCCGACCCTGGACAACTTATGTTAGAATTTGGCTAATAACCACAGCATTGTGTGAACATATTTATACATGTGCATCTTATACAACAGGTTGTTTCACAATGAAAACCTGATGCCAGGGCTCATGCAGTAAATAACACTTGATTTTCAAGATTCTAGTGTGCTGTATGAGTGGGCGATGCATAGTAGCTGCAGTAAACATGAGAAGTGTGTGAGAAGGGAGTATGTGCTCCCAATCAAAAGAGTAAGGAGGAACAAAATGAAACAGCTGAAGAGCGTAATTTAGCAATTCAATGGGCATAACATTTCGTAATTCCATTAATTGAGCTGTGGAGTTGAATTAAGTAATTACAGTCTACACATTTTAAATACAAGGTAACAAACTATTACTTTGAGATTACAAAGCATTCTTTACTCCCCTAAGGCTTACCAGACATAAACGATTGTACAGTTACAGGCAGTTTTACCGATTAAAAACAGAAATATATTATTTTAAAATGAATCCCCGGTGATAAAAAGCCACTCTGCATTACAGGGTACAGTTAACTATAATGCTAATAGCCTCACTGAAGCTAGCAGCACTTGCCTCAAGGGACTAAATCATAGCTGCAGCACCATCGTATCATACAACAGAGTATCCTCTTGTGTAGACTCTTTTTTGATAGCAAGCAACAAAACAAAGTGTTAAGCTAAAAAGCCTTTATAAATAGAATGGAAAAAATATAATTGACATTGTGCTGCCAGTGCGAGTAAGGGAAAGCAGAGGTGCCTCTCATGAAGATAATTGATACATTTGCAGTCATAATCAGCTTGTGTGTGTATGTGTCTGTTTGTGTGCTATCAGGCAAGCTACAGCACTGTCGTGTGCACACAACAACCGCCAACCTGAACAAGCATATAAAAAACAAACAAACCCTGCCATATTCCTGTCACTGCTCATTGAGACAAGCTGTCAGGATGTGTGTGAGGGGAAAAATGTCATCTCATCTCTTTATTACTGTCATTAATAGCTTATGGTTGTCTGTTTGTATTCGCCTATATGCAGAATGCCAAGGTGAGCGTCTGCAGAGTGATCAGTTGTGTCACATTGCCGTTTCATGTCTCAGTGATGAGACGTCTTACAGCCTCTAATGTGAATAATGATTTTCTGATAACCTGGAGCTTGTTAGCTCAGCTGGCTGGAAAACCAACTGCAAGGGTCTGCATCCTGTTTGATGTGTGTGAACATGCTTGGGGGGGTATATTCTTTACTAAAGCACAAAAATACAAACTGTCAGTTTCAATTTGGTAGTACTTTGATCCATATTGGATGAATTGTTTAAAAGAAAACTGACAGTTTTTGCTTTGGTGCTCACATTTTTGAGGTGCAAAAAGTATTTTCAGTCTAGACATCAGGAATTTATATTATGTCCTGACTTCTAGGTTTGCGCTTGCCATGAGTGTAACTAGGGTCTGGATATCTTATTTTTAGTAAGCTCTTCCTTTCAGGATAGCTAAAACAAAATGGAAACAAGAGGAAAGCCATTTAGGGTAGTCCTAAATTCTCTGCTGTACAAAACAACAGAATATAGAGAATGTGAAGGTACGTCACGTCGTGTTAAATGTTGGGATGGGCACCATTTTTGTAGGTATACACTGTATTTACCTGCCTAAATTCTTGTTTTTTTTTTTGTTTTGTTTTGTTTTTTCTTCTCACTTTAATGACTTTAATATGGTAATTCATGATGGATAGGGTTATACCCATGATTGATAATGAGCAGGGCGCTCCAGACATAGTGCATTTACCCAAAATTCAACGTGCTGTGACGTCAACTTCTCATTCTCTATACAGTAGTTTGTGTTACTATTATTGACTGCGATAAAGTATGATTGGACCATGTTTGAAGGCATTACATTTACATTTAGACACTGGAGTAGAATGATGGGAGGGTTGATAGCAGCAGATCCCGACATCAGGGAAGAGCAGATTTAGACTCGCTGGCTTTATATCACCAGTAACACTGAGATATCGGGATACCCCTTCAAACACCATGCACTAACCTTTGTCTTTCTCCTTTGTTCTCTCCCTCAGGTCTTTGGTTCCATTTCCCTGGGCCTGTCCAGTTTTTCAGACCTTGCAGTCGCCACCATTTATCTTCATGTTGAGCCTTAATAAAACACAGACCACCAGATAGAGGTAGGCAAGGATTCACACTGAGCCTTTTTGCCCGATAGGAATCTTAAACTGTGCTAACTGTGGGATGCAAAATAGACTCTGCTGGGGACTGTGACAGTGTTGTTTCTTTTTAATTACATCTGAAACATACAGTAATAAACAGTTATTGCCAATTATGTTTCCTAAAACTCTAATGATTCCCTTTGGGAAACCAGCTAGGATATTGTTTGATATAAATAAAATACACTCATAATATACTTTCCTTACACTAATTAGAAATATGTCTTAAATTTTAGAGGACAACTAAACCTCAGCATTTTAAAAAAATTCTGTCTGTGCAATTTAACCACACATGTACATTACATGGTATGTGTTTACATGGAATATGCATCTGTGAGTGTGAGACAGTGAGTGGGTAAAAATGTACGCCTGGGCTCATGCACCTACCTAATGTGCTATAATAATATGAGGTTGAGTGCACTTATTCATGTGTGAACGTAAATGTGTTCCTGTGTGTGTGAGTGCTGTCTCTCTGTGGCTGTGGGTGCATGTCTGATGAAAGAAGCACGGTGGTAAAATGTGCCCTGCCTCTGTTACAAGCATATTAGCAGGGCTGTTAGAGCACAGATGTCAGACAGGTCTGCAGGAGGCTGGCTAAGCAGAGAGAGAGAGAGAGAGAGCGTGGACGCAGCTATTCATAGGGGATGGATCGAGGATAAATAGGTGTAAATTAGATAGATAAGCTTCTTTTGTACAACACTCACAAACCATTAGTTGTCACACTTGGGCACCACTGTCTAATAACATCTAAAAATTTTAGAACTATGTTTCTTGGTAGGGGGTTCATACTGTGAGACCTCAGTACTGTCAGTAGTATCTGCAGTATTAAGATTTCCTTTGGTTTGGTCGATATAAAGATGTAAAGACACCAGTCACGGAAAACGTCAGTCATTCAGTTCGATCCATCAGACTCTTATTTGTCATTTGAAATGCACAAATGGCAAAGATCTCTGCTTATTTTTTAAAGGCTGAGACTTGGTCCCTGATCTACTCTGTACACAAAACAGTTATCAGCTGTTTGGGAGTAAAGTGCACCAGTTTGAAGTTAAAAATCCTTGACCAGGTCAGGCTGAAGTTGAACCTTCATAAAACAACTGCTGAGTTTATGAATGAATGGACATTGTTTCCTCAGTTCAGCTAGAAGACACGGAACACCTCAACAGCACATGCTCTGTTGCCTCTTAGGTTTTCAGTGCTTTAGACATTTTGCAGGAGCACAGAAAGTTGGAAAGAAGAAAGTCATTTTCTTTTTTTTACTGGGCTTTCCTTCTGTTGGCAGTGTCATCAATATGTGGCTACTGGCTGCAACCCAGTGGACGAAGACGAGTCAGGCAAGCAGTTAAAGCCATAACACTGCTCCAAACATTTTCTGGCAGTGTAGAAGAGTTTTCCCAACAAACACTATTCCCTCTTATTTCTTTATGTCCCCCCCTTTTTGTTACGGTAGTACATATTGCATTTCCACAACCTGAGGTCCTGACCTATGGACCTTCCTTGTGTCTCTGCATGTTGTGGAACAAAGCAGTTTATTTTTCTCTGCAGTTTGCTCACAAAGCACTTATGTGTACATTTATAGTATATGGATAATATGGAGCTTCAGATTGTAGTGAGACATATGCAGTCAACACTACCACTTCACGTCTAAACGTACTTCAAAACTTGAAGAAAACAGATAAAACTATTCTAAGATGTTTCCTTATTAGGCCTTTGACATTAATAAAGTGCAATGCTTCCCCCATATTATAATCATTTTTACATGGTCAGCTAATTGGTATTTTGTACCATGAATAAGAACTTTTTAATTCACTAAGAGTCAGCAGTTTCCTCGTTAATTGAATTTTGTGTGAAAGCAGCACCCTCATAACAGTCGGCTGGGTTAGAACGATTACACTGTTTAACATAAAAGCAAGTGGGGACCCACAGTATTTGGATTAAAGTCCGTTTCTTTGACCTATTGCTCATGTTCTAACGCTGATGTAAATCCACATTATGCTGCATAATATTAACAAATTAACAAAAAAAAAAAGAAAAAAAAGACAAGTCACTCACCAACGCGTGTGTTTATAGATGTTTATAGCTGCACTGTGGAGATATGTGAACTCAGAAGAGGTGCTATGAAGTGTGATTCCACTACAGAAGCTCTCTCCAGCCAAGCTATTACAGCATATTACCTCTGGCTTACAGACATTTAAGAAGTGGTTTGGAAAGTGATTTCATTTCAGAGGGTGCAGAACAATTTGCACTGCTATCCTGTTTTCTTCTTGCTTGCAGCCCTCCCTGCTTTTCTCCCACTGTTTTACTTTCTGCCAGCACCCAGGAGAAACATCTGCCAGGAGCAGTTTATTGGAGTGAACTAAAGGCATTTCTGACCTTAAAGTGCCACTTTAACAGTTTACAGTGAAACATCCGACCTCTTATCTGCCTGATCATTACTAATATTACTCAAGATTGTTCCTTTGGACTATGTGATGTTGTATAATACAGTTTTTTATTTCTTCATCCCCTTGTGAAATCTTCAGAGATTATACATCTGGATAGAAGAAAGAAAGTATGCGGTGTTTTTCAGAGTACGTTCAGCTTATCTAAGATTAGTTATCAGAGAAATTGAAGGGGATTGCTATGAGAGAATCACATTTTTGAAGTCTACATTTCGGGAGCTAAAGATGCACAAATTCACAAAGCCTAGAAAGATTGGAATAGGTCACACTGATTCCTTTATGTGCGTGACTGTGCATCTGTGTGGGTGTACACACCCGTCCTTTGGGAAAAGCTTTTACACAGAATTTGAGAAGAAGCAATTGGCAGCAGTGTCCCCAGAAACATTACTCTTGTGTTGAAGCAGCTCAGCTCTGTTACATTCATGTGCACTGCAGCGTTTCTGTATTTGCATGTGTATGTGTTGTCATATTTATGAATACTTTTTCGATAGTGGTTTGTAGTTCCTTGGATTGTTTGGGTGGTGTCATAGTGCAATGTTTAGATTTTATCTGCTTGGATCTTGCACAGGAGCCTGCTCTCTGTACTACTCTCGCCAGAGTTGGAGAAGCTACTGTGAAAGTGCAGCGTTGCAAGCTACCGATTGCATCAGAGTTACAAGAAGTTGAGCTACAGCAAAGCAACTCAAGTGAGAAATTTATTATGGTTAACTATACTTACTTTGTAAAAGGAAAAATCTAACTGGCATTATATATGCAACACAGAATTATAACAAAATATAATACAAAAAAGTCACATATCAGCAAAAATGCCACTCACATGAGTTTAAAACCTGTCGTAAACAAAACAAGCCTATCTGGGAATGTTATGTTTTTGTTATAAACAAATCTGGATTTCATATTATCTGAGCAAAACTTAAAGAGAAAATATAACTTGCACATTTTTAGAGCATTTGACTGATTTGAGCACAGGTCTAAAACATCTGATTTCTGCAGCCTTAACAATTGAAACAGTCTTCAACCTGCACCTTTTCAGATGGTAAGAACAGCTCGAACGCCAGTCTAAATAGTGGGCCTATCTTTTTACTTGTTAGAGCAGAAACTCTTGTTTATACGACACATTAGCTGTCTGTCAAAAAGCACTGGTAATGCCTTTGCCGACTCTGAAGCATGCAAATTCCTTTCAACCTTTTCTTATAGCCCATACGATGATACTACATACGGTTTTATTCCTTTCAACCTTTTCTTATAGCCCAAAACCGTATGTAGTATCATCAGTTAACTACACACAAAATGGCAGAAAAGTAATTTATCCAGATGAATCACTATGCAAATGCAGTATGAATGTATCTGAAGTACAAGATGCTGCAAAATTTAGTTAAAATACAAGTTTAATTACATGTAGTTCACTTCTCCTCAAGACTGACTATCACATGAAGACCTGAAGGCTTGAGTTTGTCTTCAGAATAGGCATTATGCTTACCATCTGAGTCAGAATGAGAGGGAAGTGATGATCTAGACACAGTATATCAGCATATAGACACAGTATAATGTTGATCTCCCATCACTTTTCAGCACCTTTCCTCTGCTCACCTTTTCTTGTGACAAACTGCTGAATGCATATTAACTTGTTTGAATTTATTACTAATTTGCTACTTCTGTGGATTGAAACTGGAAATATGAAGTCCACAAACGATCTAGTTGCAGGCAACTACAGCATGTATCGAGGAACAGTGAACAAGGCAGATGAACGTTCTACCATCTCAGCCTGTGCACATTATGGCAAAATGCCAAACATGGCACCTTTTTCTGTTCATTAGGCTTGTGAAATCAGTCCCGACTCGATTTTGTTTGGAGTATGCACCTGGTTTTCCAGTGACGTCCATTTGTGTGACTATGATGACCCTCACACCAACACTACTCACACAGGCCAGTCACCGTAGAACTGATGAAACCTTTTGTATCTGTGTCCATTTTAAAGGCTATAAAATAGTTAGTTTAGTTCCTGCCACTAGACACACACACACACACACACACACACACAGACTAATTTAATTATGTGCTTAGATGTTTTTCTGTGCCCGCAGATAGAAATTTAATTTATCAAACAGGTGCAACAGCCCGGAAAAGCAGCACACCTGTCAAATGAAGCACACCTCAAACCATGTTTTCCACAGTCATAATGATTCCGGTATGCTTTTAAAGAGTTGACAGATTTTTTTTTCTTTCCGTACAATGAGTGCCCGTTCACACTGGGAAAAAATATTGTCACAAAATGTAAATACAAGGACCAAATACATATCACTGAATGTTAAAATATTGTGACTCATTTATCATTATTACTCTGTTACTTTCAGCATTGCTAAAGCAATATGATGCATTATGGGTGCAATATACTTTTATTATTACTTTATTTAAAAGCAGTTTTCAAATTCAGATGTCAGAATTAATGACTGCACCTAATGTTTTTCCCATCATAATTAAATACCATGATTGCCAGTGAAACATTAATTTGGGCAGCGATAA